TGATTTCTTACACAGACAGACCTTTCCCAGTCAGCTTTTTCTCAATCAGCAACTATCAAACGGGACCATAGTCTCATCGCATGGTTTAGGAGTTAGGACCCTTAAGTAGTGGGTCATCCCAGAACCGGTTTATCGACCCAAGAAAAAAAATGGAATGGAGGGTATTTGAACCCCGGACCCCACTCACAAAGTCACTCTCAAACTATAAAGCTACATACCATGTAGTACATTTAAATCTCCTTTTTAAACACTAAAATGAGTTACACATCACCCTTTGGTAATTGTATAGCTAATATAATATGAACATTAATAATGAATTTTTATTTATTGAAAATACTATTTTGGTGGTTTGAAGTGTAAAAAAAAAAAGGTTAGAACACTAGTTCTATCAGTTCTCTCAGTTCTATGTAATAAAATACATGTCGTGTTTTGTGTTGTTAAAATTTGAATAAACTAATCCAACCTCAAATTTAGTTTTGTTTAATGACATCAAACTCAAAATTCTGTTTAACTCTCAATAATATAAATCCACAGGTATGTCAATATATATATATATATTTTCTCATTTGCATTTGTAATTATAGAAAATGTAAAGATATCATGAGGAAAATAGTCAACAAACATAAACAAAAAGACTTCCCTTCACAACACACAACACAACCTGTCATATTCGGTCATTTTATCCAAACCAGTTCAAAAAAATGCATGCAATGTTGTGTAAAAGGACCTTCAAGCCATGTTTACAAGCTTTGCCCGTCGAGTCAGTTGATCGACATCGACCCGCAACCCAAGATTAGACAACTCGGGTAAGTTAACCGACCCTTGGATTTCCAACTCACTAACCACCCTTTGATTCTCTACATTCCCTTCCAACAAATTCCTCACGCCCCAAATACCCCACTCCCTCAAAAACGGATTTTCATCATCCGTGACACAATGCTGCAACATCAAAAGAATCCCATTCTTCTCCCTCACATCATCTTGAACACGCTTCCTCCCATACGCACAATTCCCAATAACCGCAACAATGTCACTACGAAATCCCTTATAAGGGCATAGCTTACCCAAATGCGTTTTCGTTTCTTCATTCTCATCGTGTTTGATTGTTTTCCTAATTATTGAAGGAGGTTCAAGTTCACGAAGCAAATCAAGAAACGTTTCGATAAACCCTAATGAAAGTAACATATCCACATGACCCTCTTTGTTGCGAGGGTCAAATGCACAGATGTCTCTCAATATGCAGAGAGAGTATCCGAGGGCATCGATGTCATTTGAGCCGGTTGGGAGACCGGATTTTGGGCGTGAAGCATAATCAACAACACCTAAACTGGTTTTTAGGATCTTGAAAATATCCAAAGCAAAAAGCTTGGATAATGTAATATGCTCGAGTTGCTCGTTTATCATTTCGGATAGGATGCTTAACAAAAAGGATTGTTCTTGTGTGAAGGTATTTGTAGTTTCAATAGAAGGAGGATATTGTAAGTTTGAGAAGATGGGTGTGAAGTAAGATTCTTCAATGCATGTTCTTGAAAGAATTAGCTTCAACCAATCTTCTCCAAACCCCACTAGTGCACATAAAAATAAAACAAGTTAAAAGTCAAACTCAAGAAATTGAGAAAACTAAAACAAATTCAAAGGAGTAAGAATCAAGAAACATACCTTCAGATGCACTTCTTATAATTTCAACAAGAAGAGGCAAAACACGATCTGAACACAACTTGTCAAGTAGTTCATGATTCTCTTCAATACAAGCATAGATGATCATACACAAAGGGTCACAGGTTTCTTTTCTTCTAATCTTTGCAATCTCAAGAAACTTCAAAGTATAAATATGATTCCATATAACAAGTTGATGTTCCTCTCCAGCCAATGAAACATTAGCTAGAACTTGTAATCCCATTCGAATAAGCCCCCCATGATTTGAATCATTAACAATTTCCTTAGAACTGATTATATCCGAAACAATATCAACTCCATTTTGTTTCATAAATGAATTCTGATTTCTTAATTCTCCAGCACATAGGTTTCTGATGAGTTTAAGAGCCAATAAAAGTGTGTCACCTGAAGAAGGGTATGATAGTAATTTACAGAGTTGAAGGGTTGGGTTGAGCATATTCTTGGAAGCAAGATCAGATCGACCCTCTTTTGTTCTAGCCAATTCTATTAGATTCTCCAAAGCTTTGTTTAGTGTTGATGAATTTGTAGCAGCAATGAAAGGTTGAAGGATTCTTTCATCCAATGTAATTGCAGCATCCATTTTGAAATCCAATAAAAAAAGCACAAACAATTACTCGTTTGAGTTGCCTACAAAAATGAATGCAACAGAGTTGATTAAATAGAAAACTCATAATTGTTGGAATAGGTCTGTGGGGCATAAACTCCTTGTATATGTAGAATGACCAAAAAGGATATATACTTCTATATTGTGGATTATTTCTTATTTTACACATAATACTTTATCTTCAATCATTAATAATAATCTTTTTGAAAATACTTACATTTACAACATCACAATTTATTAACTTCAATAACTATTTAGATAACTTTTTATATTCATGCACATTCATCTTTAACAACAAAATGTTCATGATCATAAACTTCTTGCAAAGCCACAAGCCCAAAATGATAACAATTGCCAATAGTTCCTTCAATATTTCCACCACTATAAGCTAACAGTTCCTAAAAGAGTGTTCAATGAAAGATTTGAGTAGCATCAGTGAAAGCATGAAGTAGCTATAGGAAACAACACAAAGCCTTCTACAACAGTAGAGAACTTTAAACTATAAAGAATAGAGCAGCAGCAATGAGTACCAAAAATCTAGACACTTCACTCAGGCATTTTATCAAACAGTTTGTGTGCCTTCTTGCAATCATTCTTTAAGAGAGTATCACAAAAGGAAAATCAAATTGGGTACTAAAAACAATAATTTGAAATTACTTACTAGTGAGTCTGATGAGATTCTAGATGTCGAATTCCGGATAGATCAGCGGATGAAGCTTTGGGAGGCGTAATGGAATACAAAAACAAGACGATGAGCAGGCCTTCTCCTCTTTGTTGTGCGTGCTCCCTTCTAATCTTGAATTTTTACCCCTGAAATAGATTTTGTTGCAGTTCGAAATCGGGAATCGGTTGTTGAAGCAACTTGATGAAGAAGATGGAGTCGATGGTGAAGAACAGATGACAAGAAACAGCGCAAATGGAAAAGAACAAGCCAAGTCGATGGACCCTGAGAGAAGAAGCAACGTCAGTATATTGTTGTCTGAATTATAAAAATGACCATTTTACCCTTCTGAGTTATTTTTGTTGAATTCAATGTTTTTGTTTATAAAATAATTGAACCAACTTCTTGAATAACTATTAAAAATATATATATAAACACCATACAGAAGAATATAAACAATGTACTCTTAAGATTATAATTGTAAAACTAGGAAAGATCTATATCGATCAATATAAAAATTAATGAAATAATGTATACAAATACAATCATATATGTTCTTGAGCATGGGAATGGAAAAATGTTGCTAATCTAAAGACTATAATAACAACCGGAAGTTGATCAATTAAACCAATTCAAGAAAAATCAACTTGCAAATCTACTACCACATTCACGCCTAGTTTTTTGGGGATGAAGATTTTCCATTTGAGTAGTTCCAGATATGTAGCACATAAATCCTGGTCTTGCACTCAATTTCTCTTTCTCTTTCTTGCTGAAACATCACAGCTATACACCAATTCATCAATCATACTTTAAATTTCAAAAAACTTTTCAGCAAAATCAGCAAATAAATTCATCAACTTTAGAGAATATTTTCATAAAGGCTCGAAATCGATTTCACATGAACAACATTCTATTTTCACCAAAATAACCTTAATATCTTGAACTCGATTTTCAAAGGAAGAAGAAAAGAAAAGAAAACATCATATGATTTCACATGAACAACATTCGATTTTCAGAAGAAAAGAAATTGAGCCCTAATATCTCCAACTCAATTTCAAATGAAAGGGAAATCAAAACCCTTACCTGTAGAAGCTGGCGGAAGCGGAGGCAGGGTTGTTGAAGCTGCCGGAGGTAGAGAGGAGCTAGCGGGGGCGGCGGACACGAATCGGAGATGGAGGAGAAAGGCTCGAAATCGATTTCTCCAAACATCAAACCATGAAATCGATTGCTCCAGGGGGTGGCTGTGGGGAAGACGGAAGCAACAATACCTATGGCGGAAGAGGCAGCGACTATGGAAGGGTGTTATGGGTGTGGTGTCGCCGACGAAGGGAGAAAGAAACACAGATCTTAAATCAATTACATAAAATCGATTTAAGGAAAAACCTTACATGATGATGTTGTCTTCGAGTTTGACGGAGTTGGAAGCAAAGGGGGCTGGCGGCGGTGACGGGACCGGAGCGCGGATGTTGGAGGCGGAAGGTGTGCACGATCGAGAGAAGAAGGTCTAGGCGGAGGTCTTACGTAAATAGAAGGAGCCATGGGTAAAAAAGGAGGAAGGGTCTCTTGTTTCTTTTCAGACTCCATTCTATATCTGAAATATTAACATGCTTTTAAAAAAATTAAAAAGTAAACAAACGGGACCTGAATAAAATCGATAATTTTGCTTTTATGAAAGAGTTTGGTTTTCCGTTTCTAGGGTTGCTTTTTGGGATTTCGGTTTTAATCAATGTTTTAAAAACCGGTTTGAACCTGTCGGTCGAAGCGGTTGGACCGGGAACCGGGTTCAACTATCACCGGTTTTATGTCGATTTCTAAATCGGATTGAATCGGCCGGTTTTTAGAAAAATCTGATTGAACCGGTTAAACCGAATAAAAACACATAAAAAAAAACCATTAACATAATAAACTTTGATGATTTTTTTCAAATTTATTAGGTTTTCTCTAAATAAAAACATATGATATATGTTATAAAGTTTTTTTTATGTGGTTTATAAAGTTTTTTATTTGGTTTTCTCAAGTTTATTTGGTTTATAACTAGTTTTATCTAATATTTCTTATATATATTAGACATAAAATTATAAAATTTAGGCTTTGGCCCCTGTTTGTTTTGTTTTGTTTTTTTTTTTTTTTTTTTCAGAAACTATAGTTTTCGTTTCGGCCCTCCAAATAATTTGTTCAAGCTCTGCCACTGATATCACAAACTTTTTCGTTGTAAATTTCCAACATGGAAACCTAATAAATGAAGGATTAGTTTCGGTTGTTAGTAGAAACAGGATATGTCAAGTTGTACCGTGTTTGTTGTAGATACTACATCGAACAGAGACTGTGTAGGAATAAGAACTGTAATGTTTTGTTACCGCCCAAAAAGGTGAATGCCACGTTAGGCCTCTGGTATACAAGGGATGAGCTTTTTAACCGAAAAAACTGAAGTGGAACAGAACTAGACAGTGGTATTCAGTCCGGTTCTAGGTTCTTAATTTACGACTTATTCGGTTTCAGTTTTCTGGTCCGTGACAGTTCAGGTTCCAAACACCTTAGATAACACACTTTTTAGTATAACCGAACAAGAACCGGAACCGATTAGTGGTATTTGGTCCGGTTTTCGGTTCTTAGTTTATAACTTATTTAATTTTTGTTTTTTCAATTCCATATTGGTTTACATGTCTAGGGCATACCCATCAGCAACACAAATGTGATGGGGATGTCGTGTCACTTCAACATCACCACACTAATGCAACACTATAAGATACTCACAACTCCACATCATTATATGTCTCTATTTTATTATTATTTAAATAAATAAATATATGTTTTATTTAATTAAAAGGTAGAGAGAGATAGAAAGAAAAATATGATTAGATGTGGTCAATTGTGGTGGTAACCACATACCACCACACCACGGGCCATCACATTGCACCGGGTAGGCGTTTTCCTATAATGGTGGGTCACCCCTATGTAGATGAGCTTTAGTTTTTGTGTTTCTGGTTCTTGCCTACCCATCATGATGACCACAAGCGAATATGCATACATGTAGAATATAAACATCTTAAGAATATGATATATCATATATTCAATCTTGAGCTTGAAATTATAACAAATAGTGATTTGCTTGTTATGATTTTTTTTATATTTGTGAAAAGAAAAAGAAAAGGCAAAGAAATTGATGCATTATTGTTAAGTGGATTAAGTAGTGTTATTGATTTTTTTATGTTTTAGTGTTATATGAAAGGATTAAATAATTGCTTGAAGAATAAGATTAAAGAAAAAAATGAAGAAAGGGTCAAAGTGTTGATATGGAAAAACTTGAAGGTAGCGGATAATGTTAGCTTCATTTTTCTTGTTAAAACAATATAAGGGCAATTTAGTAATTTACGATTGAGTTTGTTAGCTTTCTTGGTTTACCTTTGATCCTCTCTGTAATGGTTTACTAAGTTAAAACTCGTGGAAACCATGAGTAATATAGATAAACACTATTTACAATTTAAATTGGTAATGAACAATAGAAGATTTATAAAATTGCTAAGTTACAAAGATTGAAGCTTTGCGTATAAGTTTATAACGGGATATTTAAATTTAACAAAAACTAAAAACTAAGATTAGGCCCTACCTATTTAGTTAAAATTAATATATACATTGTTATAAATATCTTATCTATGTTGTGTATGTGTTTTGTTACTTTTGTATATGTAAAAATTTGATAAAATTATGATTTTATACAATGCAATATAAATTTGAATAGTGTGGAAAAAACACAATAAATCATGAGAGGATATTTTTTGTGATAAATTAAAAATAACGGTAATTTAATAAACATACATAAACACAACAAAATAAATTAGACATTAAAATGATGAATGAAGTGTGATTTATTAAAATTAAATAAAAGATTATATATAAAATTAAAATCTAGAAAATGTTTATAAATTTATAAAAACCTCTTTATACACAGCAATTTTTGTTTGAACTTCATGCACCGGTCACATGTGCTCCTTTACTATTGTGTGACAATGTTGGCTCCATCTTCATTACCCAAAATCCAGTAATTCGCACCCGTTCCAAGCTCATTGCACTTGATTTTCACTCTGTCAAAGAACAGGTTGAAGCCAAAGCTCTTCATATCAGTCATGTGTCATCAGTTGATCAGCAAGTCGATATTATCACTAAACCTTTACATAAAGATCGCTTTTGTTCTTTGTGTTACAAGCTTCAATTTCGTCCCGCACATGAGCTTGACAGGAGGTAATAACGGTACATAATCACCAAACAGAGTCACATGTGTAATTTGGTTTACCATGTGTTAAAGACCTAGTCTAGTCAAGTAACAAAAGTAGTGTACCTAGTGTAGTTGTATATTAAGGTTTATGCTTGTATATATACCTAATGTATCTCTTTGAATCAATCACAAAGTTTTCAATATTTTATCACTAAATACCCATGTGCTTATAAAAATACATGCAAATACACTTAAATACACACAGATTCAGGAATGAGATGCTTCATTAAGAAAATAGAATGACAAAGGACCCGTTTCATTGTGTCGATTGGAATGGAATAAAGCAACCCACTCTTTTTTACCAATTTCATACTTATAAGGATGTTTGGTAATTTCATTGTGTCGATTGGAATGGAACAAACATGTCATTATCAATAACATCAATGTCTGAGTTTTCTCTTGGGGCGGGAGCTCCAGGAGCATCAGTAGACAGCTTAGTACAAACTCCACAACCGTTAAATCAATATAAAAAATGAAGTTATTTCCCTAATAACTAATTTTTTAAATGGTAAAAAAAGCACCAAAATGGTATTATGAGCTTCGTCCACAATCTCGCGTTGTTTGTCTTGTACGTTGCGCGTACAGACTTGTACACCTAGCACACTCACCCAATAAGCCAAACCGTCCATTAAGCTCTTAATTCATAAATCCAGAAGTCCAAACCATATATTTTGAGTCCTAAAAAGTGTCTAGAACCATAAAGTCACTGACTTTGTGACTTTGCAAGCCCCAAAAAGACCCAATCTGAAAATATAGCATTCTACTATCATGAAAAGGACCCAAACTCATGCATAGATGGATTTAAACCATAGAAGTGCCAACTTTATGGACCTTGAACCTCAGAAACATCAAGAGGGGCAACTCAAAGCTCCTGGAATGGCATCAAGCTACTAGATCACATCCATGGGGCCAAGAAGGAACCAAAACTCATAAACGATAGATCTAAGACATCAATGATCAAGTTCATAGCTTTATACCTCAAACAAGTTGGAAATAAAGCACACAATCAAGATCCATAAGCTCTTCCTTGATCTTCAACCTTGCACCAACCTTCTACTTCTTATATATGGACCAAAACGCACCAAAAATGGACAACCAAAACGCACCAAAAATGGACACTTTATATACCATCATGAAGGCTAAAGGACAATTTATAAGGTTTTGGGGACTTGGAGGCTGGTAAAGAGGCCAATCCTAAAGACTTAATGTGCTTATATATGGTACACCATCAAATTTAGGGTTTTCATGAAGATGCACATACGCCCCGCGTACACCATTGTACACCTCATGTACGTACCCGAAGGCGCGGTCCTTCCTCACATCAGTACGCCCCGCATACCGGCATTAGAACTAGTATGTCATGCGTACACATATGTACACCCCCGTGTACTGCTTAACCCTTAACCCTAATGTACTCCGAAGGCCATAACTTCTTCATCGTTAATCCAATTTTGACGATCCTTATGTCCATGAAAAGGTAACAAAAAGCTTTATGCTTTAATCTACTCATAGCTGCCTTACAGTATCCCGAACAAACATCCAATTTCCATCTAAATGTTAGCATGTTCACTCGTAGTATATGGCAGCTTTGTCGTGAAGTTTCTGGTTGAATTCATACCTGGTTCATCTATCACCGCCTTGTGTATACAAGTCGTATAAACAGTTTGTAGTGATAGGTAAACCGTATTCATTCCTAGCCTCTGTGCTTGATCTTGACTCGTTGTATGCGTGTTATTCCTAAGTGGTATGTCGGTAATACTTCGGGAAGGTTTCAAAAGATATAACACTCTTCACAAGAGTACTTCGGGATTTTGAAACGAGAGACGATTTGGAAGTTTGTGTCAGGTTTGTCGTCATAGGTTAAAAGAGTTTCATTAGTCGACGGTTAACTCGAAGGGTCTTTTCATAGCACACGCAATTGGTATGGTGAAGACCAAGTCAATCCATGTCGAATGACGACATCGGAATTTCTTAGTGAAACATGTGTTAAGTCGATTAGAGAGAAACGTTTGTTATATAGATAGTCCTTTTTGTGTATACTCTCTAGTGTTTTCTGTGTGATCTTTCTAGTGTTTTCAGTTTTATTAATGATGTTATTACTGCAAACGATTTGTACCGCTGTATGCGAGTACCTGCAGTAAGAGTGCTTCAATAACTTATGATGGTATTTCATGTTATGACCCCTATCAGGTCCCTCTATAATCGCTTGATGCATACTAGTCATGTATAATTAAGGTTTTAACTGACAAAGTTTTTGTGAAAATTT